TCTTCCTCATGGCTCCTGGGGGCTCAGGCAGTGTGGCAAATAGGGATTTCCTTGGGGTTTTGGGTCCCTCAGCACTTGCCAGGCGCTCTAGGGGGGCGGGTATTTGGCTCGCCACAACCAATATTGAGCATTTTTCCTTTGGATAAACTTTATATGCACAAGTGCACTCTCACAAACAACTACAGGTGCTTAGTTCCAGGTACTTAGAGATTCACTTACATACAGAAAGCCCATATTCTTATCTTCAGCTACCACAGTAAACATGTAAGATTAAATAATAGTACTTATACTTCAGCAATAGTATCAAGGTGCTAATTTATCGTATCTGTTATACTATATCCGTTGGTTTTTGCTGAACTTTTTACATCTCTCTTTGCAGGTGATGAAGCAGACTGCGGAAGTTTTATCATTGTCTCCCATTTATCTCCTCTTTCTTTCATCTTTTCTCCTTTTGCTTGATTTTCCTTTCCTGTTTACTTTCCCATTGCAATGTCCATATAATCTGTAATACTCCCTGCATGAATTATAATAAATCTATTTATATGAATAAATCAAGCAGAACACTATGGAAAAAGCCATATTGCTCCCCTTTTAAAGCAAAATCTGTTGGGTTCTTTTTGGCATCAAGACAATTATTCTTATAGCCACAGGACACTGTTTAAAAAGAAAAAAGCATTACGCTGCCATGTGTTACGCATAAGTTAGGCTGTCGTTGGACATAAGTACTGGACTCATTATGAATATGCTATGTATACGACACAAAATTGAAAAAAATACATAGAAAGTTCAGCATATGCCGGTGTTTTAGGAGATTGTGGGACGCCAGGCATACGCTGGCAAAATCAGCAAGATGTGACAGAGCCCTTACTATTTGCATAAGCAATCTTTGTAGATACACACCCACTCACACTGCGTGTGCAAAAATCTTTTAAGATCAAGCCATAAGTCACCACTCAGAACATCCCTTTTTAAATAAAAAATAAGTTTCAAACTATCACAGTTCCAATAACCTCTAACATTATGATCTAGTACTTCAAAGATTTTCTTTATTGTCAAATGAAATCATGTAATCGAGTCCTCTGGTGCTGACTTCAGACTGTGATTCTGACAATTTGCTTTCCACCCTTTACCTAGGAGTATAAACAACAATCCATTCAAAGACAGCAATGGGAACTTTTGTAATTATTGCTGCAATTATAATCATCCTTGAATTGCAGCACTGCCTCTCTGGGGTCTGTGGTCCCACTGCTCTCAGGATGGGCACATGGAGGTAAAATGCTAATCAACATCCCAGCTTCATCAACTTATCGGTGACTTGCTTACAGCATAAGAGTCTCTTCACCCCTTTAAAAGGGGGCTGCAATCAGAAGAATTTCTTTCCATATTTCCCTATAGGGGGGACGATATAGAGGGTATACACCAAAAGTGCCAGCAGGAGCACCGCGGGATAGGAATATTAGTTAAAATACATTTCAATTTAGAAAGTAAAACTTGGCAACCTTGAACAAATTAATTTAAATATGGGTGTTTCATTGTTATTTACTGTATTATCTTCATTGTGTTAAGCTTACCCTTAAAGATTCATGGAAACAAAAGATTTCCAAAAGACAGTTTAAACCATTTGACATTAACTTAAAAAATGCCACAGGGTAATAGTTAACAACAAGACTAACAAAATGTGAGTAACTTTCCTACCTCTTCCCACTGGTGGATATAACGAATGAGTCGAGACAGTCGCAGGAGTCGTAGCAAACTGAGGATCTTTGTAAAGCGTACAATCCTCAAAGCTCGTGCTGTCTTGTAGAAATCTGAGTCAATGCGCGTCTCTACTATAAGGAAAATGTAGTCCACAGGGATGGAGGATATGAAATCCACCACAAACCAGCTCCGCAAGTATTTGATTTTGATCTCCTGAGGATCCAGGATGATCTCTGTGTTGTCTTCTTTGACAATGCCTGTCCTGAAGTTGAGAACAAGGTCCATGAGGAAGAATGTATCTGAGACGACATTGAAAACGATCCAGGGGGGTGTGTGCTCGTCCTTGAAAAAGGTGATGCCCACAGGGATGATGATGAGGTTGCCGACCATCAGCAGTAACATGGTCAAGTCCCAGTAAAACCTTGAATCAGAAAGACAAAACAGGCATAAATAAGGATTACTGACAAGACAAACAATACCAAAGTTTAACTTAAACACAAAATCTTCCCTGCATGTAGAACAATATATACAGTAATGCACAAATAAATTAAAGATTTTTCCTTGTTTGCAAGGGTTTACAACCAAACTCTGTAAAATAATTTCCATACTGTTGCTTTTTAAGTTGCATTTATGAGGACACAATAGTGTGCATTTGTTGGCTGTCTCTGTTACCATTATACAAAGCTACAATAAAAGAGTTGCAAAGGTCACATAAATCAAATAATTGTAATTTAAGCTCACAACAATTGGTAACAGCTGATGGAAAAATGTAATGAGAAAATACAGGACATTCCTAGATATAACCATGCTGCAAAAGATTTAGGACAATAAAGGAGGTCCCCCCTCTTACAAGAACCTGAGACAGTATGAAGCTATAGTTCAAATGAAAACATAATTATGGTTTGGGACAAAGTATCTGTGTGTGATTAAATAGTCCAGTCAAACCAACAACCAGAATCCAATTGTTAATCTATGGCAACTTTGAAAATTGACAATGAACAAATAGTCTCCATCAGATCTGAGTGTGACATGACAGCTTTGTTTTGCCCCACCTCTGCTGCTACCAAAGCCAGCCTGATTGAACACACCTGCCCTCAATCATCTCCTCCTGTGCATTTAAGCAGTCTGTTCCTTTAGGCAAGGCAAGGCAAATTTATTTGTATAGCACAATTCAGTACAAAGACAATGCAAAGTGCTTTACATGATTAAAATACAGGAAGATAAAACAGAATCAAAGCAAGTAGGAAAAAATAAAAAAAATAAATAAAATAAAATAAAACTCCCATGCCAGTGCATTTTGTTTCTTCCAGCAAGCTTCCCAGCCCCTTTTTCCAAGCTTTCTAGCCTCTCTTGAAATTTTTTTAAAACTTTTTTTGCACTCTGCCTCTTCACAGTGTGTTTGGCTACCTCTCCCCTCTTGACTGTTTCTCAGTGCACCGATCTTAAGACTGTCATTAAACTACAGAATTTTGGAAACTCTTAAGTTGTCATTTGAGTCCTGCCTGTCCAGATTCCTGTAACACTGAGTGGTAGTTTTGAATAAATGGAAAACAATTTCTGCCTCATGATGTTCAGAGATTTTGTAGAGTCATGCCTCAAAGTACTTTTAGTAGCTGGATTTGCATTGTGACAGTAAAACACACCTCACACTAGAGTCCTGCAACGGGTCGGGTACCCGCGGGTCCCCAACGGGTCACCCGCTAAAATGCTCTTTTGCGGGTAAAAAATACATAAATAATAATAAACGGGTACGCGGGGTCGGGCGGATGTTTTTTTAGTGCTGGCGGGTAGTTGGTGATTTCTTTTTTAATGCGTGTGTGTTGTTATGGACATCAGAAATGTTATATTAATCAGGCACTGGGGTCACCCTTGTTGTACTGTAGCTTAAAGCCCTGCCGGCAGTGTGGGCTTACCTCCAAAAAGGCCACAGTCAGTGCACACATGTCTGCTGCAGTGTTAATGGCGCTGTTCTGCAGCGCAGCGTACTATAGCCTATTACTTGATGTGTTAACGGGTCGGGTTGCGGGTTAAATATCAACGGGTCGGGTCGGGTTAGGTAGTCATCCTAAAGGGTTCGGGCAGGTGCGGGTTGGTAAAACTCGACCTGTGCATGACTCTACCTCACACTTTTAAGAATTGCATGTGTATAAACATTGGAAGCCGTTCTTCATGAGTTAATCTAATGTATCCTACCATTATTACTGAATACTTCTACTGCACCCATTCATGAAATGTGTATATTTTAGCATTTGTTATAGATGTTATTTAAATATTGCTACATTTACAAAGTGCAAAAATGTACATTAAATATGATACTACTGTCATACACGTACTGCTGCCATTCTACTGGACAAAAACTGATAGTATGTGGTTAAACTACTGACAGCTACTAAATTACTCTCCTTTTATTAATGTCACCATTGTTTACTTGTTTATACGTACAGTCCATGGCATAATAATGAAAAACTGGTTGAGTGGCTCACAGTGTATTACTTCTGACTCCCTATTTGTATTCCTCCAGCAGTAGTTCAATGTGGGTGGGCATGAGAAGTGTTTGAATTTGGACCATAAAACAGAAATCCTAATTTGATTTAAGACTAAATGCTAATTAAAATAAGAATCATGCTCTTGTCTGTTTTCTGTGTCTGAAAGTTAGAATATAAATTGCTTTTTGCAATGCTGCTAGTGGACTAGTAATTAAATCAAGATATATGATAAATTCTGTGTACAAATAGACCGGCTCACTGATCTTCTCTGATGCTCTGTTTCAATCTAAACTAGGCAATACACATCTGTTTTCAAAATGAATATGACAAACTAAGTGCAGGTTAAAGAAAAAAACAAAGGATCTATGCAACATATGTATCCAGAGGCAAATACTACATATATCTCCTCTGAAAGGAGCTACAGCTAGGAGGAAGCTTCCCATTTTTTTTCCTCCTTCATTGCTGTGCATCTGATGTGTATTGATTTTTTTCAGTTCATTCATGGTGTGTTGAAGTAAATAACTCAGGGGTTTCCATTGAACCGCTGCTGTACATAATCAGAGTGTCACTGAGTAGTGTAGCTCGGAGATGAGGACCCTAATTCATGCTCAGGCAGACGTTGGGGGATAGAAGCAAATACGCTTTTATTCTTTTCTTGTAAACGGAGCAGAAAATGCTTGTTGTGGCATGTTATCCATCCGAGAACATAAAAATGAGGAAAGGCGGGGTAGCAGGAAGGACATGGCCTAGAAAAAAACAACAAAAAACATAACAAAGAGCAAGAAATTTAGGTCAGCACTGAATACATCAAAAATGATAATGAATCATGTTTAATACAAATCAAATAATTGGTAATCAGAACTGAAACTACACTTGAAACAAAATGAAAACAAAAGCATGATAATAAAAAAAAATCATGATAAGAAAAAAAAAGTTGTGTAAAAAGAAAATGAAGAAAAAACACAGGGAAAGTAAAAAATAAGAAATATATGAACATTGCTCAATCCATTATCCAAAAATAAAATGTATAAAGAAAGTGTTGTCCACAATAAACTGACAGGCTGGACAAAAAGAACATTAAACAGAGAAACAGCCAGGAGGCCCATTTGCAGTTTGCCATATCCGGCGTGGAGGAACCATGTGGAAGAAGATACTTTTGTCAGAATAAAACAGAACTTCAGAACCTTGAAACTCTGTCTGCAGCAGACCATTAACTTTACACAAACTTCCTCACAATGAAATGGTTCCTCAGCTGGGAGAAGGCAGAAAACCAAAGTTAAATGACAAACGATCCAGAGGTATACAGCACCTGAAGGTAGTCTCCCTACCTCCATAGTCACCATCACCTTAGTCAACTGAGATGGATGGAAGAAAACCTTAAGATTGGGTCAATGATTCACCTGCAGTGGTACAATGTTCTCTAATGTATAGCAAGAAATTCAATGGAATGGTTTTTAATAAAAAAATATTTAGCATAAATGTGTGAAAAATCCTTAATGTCCAGACCTAAAGCAAAATCTGCAGGACCAATTTAGAAAATGGCTGATATTAATGATTTTCTACATTTCAGCAAAAATCTAGATCTAGAATTAGCAAAGATTTTAGTGTAGTACAAATTCTAAAAGGAAATACAACGAGGTTTGTTTGTGTGACTTTACTGCATGCAAATGAAGTTAGAAGTATACATACATACATACTTCAACAAGACAGTATACATAATCTACATTTTATAGAAAATATTAAAGATTCAGAGCTTTGTATATCTTTAAAGATTCTTTAACACTGGATGCAATCCTTTTTTATGGAACACTATTTCATTAAACATGCATGTGTTTCACAACTATTATTCTAAAACATATACAGCTTGTGTCACTAGCCACTAAGGTTTCCCAAAAAAATGAACAAAAATTCAACATTAATTTAAGTATGAAAATCTTATATTCCTGACACAGGCTAAAGGCCAGTGTTTTTTGTTTTTTGTAATTGGCCTTTATGCACAAAATGTATCACGAAAACAGGAGTTTTTAAGTGCTTAGATGAAAGTTTTCAAGAAAACCCCTGCCCTGAACAGGGTAGACATGGTCTAAACATACATTAAGAACTGAAAACCATCTGAGTCTCATCTACACACAACACACCCACACAAATCACACATACACAGATATGCATGAAAAGAGAAAACTGACAGTAATTGGAATTCTTAAAAGTGAGAGGGAATCCACTGTTCCAATGTGTTGTCATTTGCAGTTATATTTAGACAGACCTTGGCACCACTGCGTTTGTTCACATTAAGTCTGAAAACCTAGAGGACAAGTACAATTTCAAAGGAAAAAATGCAAACACGTGTCAAGACATTTTATACATATTGAATTTTTGTTTTTCCTGACTTCTGTGAAATAATTGACAGATCATCATATTATGTTTAGAGTCCAATTCTTGACATAAGTCATTTTTGCTTCATTGCAATATCTGAAGCTGTAAAATCTTTCCCCACTACTGTCACATATCATAAATTAAAATATAATAAAAAAAGAACCATTCGTCAGGGATCTGGATTTTCCGTTAGCTTGAAGCTTTATCAGCAAAATTAACAGAAAGAAAATGCTTAAAATGAATCTATATCTGTTTCACATCCAATACAATTCATTTTCTAAGATAATTTATTTTTTTGACTATGTTGTGACTCATTGGGATACGGCTGCATTTTATCACATCTATCTTTTTTATCTGTTATACATTTGTGCTAATGAATTTAGAAAGAATAAATCGCTCCGCATTTTCAAAGTGATTTACGACAGAGAAATCAAGCAGTGAAAAAGCATAATATGGACAATGAATGAGTGTTCGGTGGGTGACAGAAAGCAAAACATCCAACATGCTGCAGGGATTCAAACTCTCAATCATCCAACTGGAAAATCATATGTGGCCACATATG